GCCATTATAGGTCTTAATGGTGTTCCTGGTTTATGTGTTTTCGGTAAAAAATAAAGATGGGCTAATTCAGCCTCTTCTTCATTAACCTTTAATTTTTCATATTGTTTTTGTGTAATATATTTATTATACCATAAACCATAAAGAAAATTATTTGTACGTTCAACTAAAGATTCAAGTGGATTAATAATACCCAAATCTTGATATGCTTTAGTATTATTCATGTATATTTGAGCTTTCACTTTATAGTCATCAAGTTTACCGAGGTGGAAAATTTTCGATTTATCAGTTTTTCTTATGACTGTTTGTGTAGCTTTAAATTTCTTTCTTAAATTATTGATCTCCTTTAATTGAACAGATGGCGGGTGTCTTTGATGACAATCGGTCAAGATCTTTTCGAGTGAGTTTATGAAGATCTGTAATCGTTCCTTAGGTGGTACCCATCCATGTTCAACGAATATTTTATTTAGTTTCTTTATAACCACATCTATCTCTTTTTCCAGACGTTTATGAGCGAGGTGAGGGTTATTAGGAATATATGGAGGGCCCAGTTTAAGAAGGGCCTCTTCTCTCCTATTCAAATTTATGCTGGGTTCATTAATTATGCTTGGAGCACGAAATCCTTTCGTAATACTGGATTCAAATCTCGTGCTTCTCGTATTACGAAGGGCGTCTCTTTGACGCTGCGTTCGGCTAAAAAATGCACTTCTCTTTCAGTTTCTAGTAGACTTCTTTTCAATGCAATTTCTATAAATTTACTATATAATTGTGAACCATTTTGATGGATTAATTTTTTCTGTTTTTGTGTTTGTGGTTTTTGAGTAAATATTTCCTCTTCTTGTGTTAGTGATTTTTGAGTAAATATTTCCTCTTCTTCTTCTTCATCATCTTTATTATTATGATGATGAATATTCTCCTCATCATTAACAGTTTGTGTTAATGATACTTTATTACTATCTGGCGGAAAATCTTCAAGAAGTTTCTCTAATCTTTCTTTTTGAAATTCGAATTCTTCTTGGACAATCTTCAGATAGAGTTGTGTTACTTGAAGACGTAAATCTCTTGATAATTTATGTATGCTTTCTCTATTCTCCTGGATTTGTTCACTTGGAAGTGAATTTTCATCCATTGGAAGATTAAAAGCATCATATTGTGGTAAGATTTTCGGTATTATATCATATAATATATGTGCAGCAACTAAATCAATATTTTTCTTTTTCTTTTTATATGCTTTTAATGCTGATTTACAGAAGGTTTTAGCATAGATTTTTTGTTGCTCTGATGCAACAACTTCAAATGCTTTTAGAGCATCCCATTCGTCCTTCTCAATAACAGCACGACGAATTCTATTGATGCTCATTTTTGATAAACCTTTTGTAGCTTCTTTAATATAATCTAGTATAAGATCATGTGTTCTATTAGCAATAACGGTGGCTGATAATTCTCTCATGTTTCGTGTGATGAAATTATTAGCATCGAAACATGCCGATGTAAAATGTGAAACTTTCTTTTCACATAATGCTAAATTCGTTTTAGCCTCCCGTGTATGTGTAATATTGGCTACTTCTTTAGCCCAATGATTTTTTTGCTCTCCTAGATCATAGAACTGTTGTCATACTTGGGCTTCATAATGATCATGTACCCATTTATCATATGTTTCAATAGTATTCTTTGCATAGGCGCACACTTCATTGAAAGCATCTTTTAAATCGAATTTCAATTTTTGATCATTATTTACTCTATCTTTGAGATAAGCGAGAATCTTGAAACCTTGCAAATAGGTCTTAATTTTTCGTTTATCTTTACTAGTTGATGATTGTTCAACATTATTTTGTTCTGTATCATTTTGTTCTGTATCATTTAAAATATTAATTTCCTGTTCTATTTCAAGATTAGATACATTTACTTGACGCTGGTTATTACCACGCGCATTTGTGATGAGAACTTCTGTTGTTGTTTTAGCTTGTCTCTTTTTACTGACTCCATTCTTTTGTGTGCCAGTATTGTGTTTTTCTTTTTTTGATAAGTTTCGTTGTTCATTATCTTTCATGGTTTCTGTTCCATTATCAACCTCTGAAAGCTCCTTATCAGTCTCTTCATTATCTGTTAGAGAGAGAAGAAGATTAAAACGATTATCACTTAATCGACCTAGTTCTTTACTTTGTTCGAGTATAATTGCTCGTTGTTTTTGATGCCTTTCTCTTCGACGAATTGTGTCCAGATGAGCTTTTTCAGGTGTTTTCTTTTTTTGCGAATGTTTTTTTTCTCTTCTTCTTGTTGTTGTTAAATCTACATTAATTTGATGATCCTTCTTATTCACTTGAATCGGTGTCGTTATCGACATACCCTGAAATTCATGTGAGGTCATATTCTTATTCTTATTCTTATTCTTATTATATACTGATGGTTGCCATTGTTCAAGCATAAAATGAACTAAACGACGTGTCATTGGTGTTTTTGGTGTTATCCATTGACCTGTTCGTTTAAGAATACCACGTCGTGATATATGACGTATATCTGTAAGATTTTGTAATTGTCCTTGGTTCCTACACACTAAAATAAAATGTGTCGTATATATGTGTCGCACAAGAATGTGTCGCAGACTCCATTACAAAAATGTGTCGTACAAGAATGTGTCGCATTGTAGATGTGTCATAGCCTATATGTCAATCGTTCATTCACCGATTTGTTTCGCGAGTGCAGCTGCATATAAGCGAGCCTATTGGACGTACTTGACTTATACATTTCCGTATGTCTTTTTTTTCTAGATTATTTCTCGACCATTTGTTATTCGAGAACATGTCGAGAGGTCGCTAGATGATCGAGAATGGACTGCCTCGAAGTAGTCTGATCGAGATCAAATGGTCTCGAGGCAGCTAGATCTTAAGTTCTACCGTCTCGAACTCCAAGAATAGATGCTACTGTTTGAAATTAACTGAAAAAATAGTAACTATTCGAATTTTCAAAAAAAAATAATCCTCGTGCCGAAAAATGGATTCGAACCACGTGGTAAAAATGTGTCGCATGTGTCGCACAAGAATGTGTCCTACGTCCGCTGGAAGAAATGTGTCGCAACGAGCTCCTCGTGTCGCATATTAATGTGTCGTATATTGTGTCGCAAAGTGCGACACATGCGACACATTTTATCTTAGTGTGTACTATTCATATGATATGGAACCTCAGTCATTGTTAAATTATTTAATGGATATTGAAATGGTGGTGGTTGTAGTGGCATATGCTGTCCATTAACTGTTCCTCCCAACCAATTATTTTGTTGCCAATCTATTGGCATTTTATTTAAATTAGAAAAGTGTTGTTGTTGTTGTTGTTGTTGTTGATAATTGAAATATTGTTGTTGTTGTTGACGATAATCGAATGGATATTGTTGTTGTGGATGTTGATAACCATATTGAAAATCATTTGGAAATGAAGTTGGAAATGAAGTTGTTTGTTGTTGCTGTTGATAATATAATGGAAACATCTCGATGGTGTCGCTTTTTCAAAGAAATTACTCTTGGACTAATTTAAGATCTTTCGATTCTTTTATTAAATTAGTCAGCTAAGACTATGCAAAAACTTTGCTTTTTCAAAAAGAAAAAGAGAGTAATTGACTATTTCTATGAAGAAATAATCTATCTTTTACTTATATACGCTCTCGAGATAATTGGAACAAAAAAAAAAAAACAATAAATAATTAATAGAAGTTTTCTTGTTTTTCTTTTTGTAGAGTTTATTGACTAGTTTCTGTCAAGTTCAAACTGGACTTCATCAGAAGCCCTTGGTAAGTTGTAATAAAAAAAACTAAAGGTTAATAAAGAAGAGGCTGAATTAGCCAACCTTTATTTCTTACCGAAAACACATAAACCAGGAACACCATTAAGA